TCTTTCCCTTTCTTTCTTTTTCTTCTGACCTACCAAGAAGATAAATTGGTTCCTTTTTGCCTAAGCACAGATGTGCAGCAGATGGTTACTGATGATATCAAGGTCCTGATGAGTTATTGGAATAATTCATGTTGGTGTGGGGTTTGTTATCTAGATATAGTATTGTGCTATCTACTCATCTCTTTCGAGCTTTAAAAAGAAATGGTTTATTTTATGAAGACCTTTGAAACAGTCCCTCAGATGTCAGATAATAATAATAATTGATATCCATTTTGTGTTTAGAAGTTCGCTCTGCTCTCTTTAATGTGCATAACTCTTAATAATATAAAGAGGATCAAAGGCAATTTACATTTATGTAGTGTATTAATTTTATGCCAGCAGGAGGAGTAAGATAGCAGTCAGTGAATGATCTTAATGGTAAATTGGGAAATATTTCATTTTAAAATATGAACCTAAGGTGTTGAAAATAATAGAGAAATTGATACATAAATATGATATATGGACTATGGAATAAAAAAAAAATAGTCCACATTAGTTGAAAAAGCCCTAATGCAAAGGATCTCTTAAGTCTATCTTTGTTGTACAAGTCTTCATTGCCACAGCAGCGTTAATGCATTTGAGTTTAGAAAATACAAATATGAGAACAACTTCTAAGGAAATTTGGAAGACATAAACTTTTACTTCTGTGTATGTTGCTTTCAATTCCAATTTTTGCTATAATGGATATGCCTTCTAGTTTTGGTATATAAAGCATATTGCTTTGACAGCAAAATCTGTTCGAAATAAGAAACAGTTATTACCCCTTGTCTTTGATGAACACTCAAAACAAAAGGAACGTATTTATTATCATGTGTTCATCACTATTTTAATACGTATGCGACTGGTAACTTAGTAGCTCTTTGGATATACCTTCAAGAGCTCTAGCTTTGCCTGCAGGATTTAGATCTTTATTTTGGTATTTCGATCTTAGAGATGGTTTTGATTCACACTAGCTTCACATACTGTAAAGTTAATTCTCATCTACTCAAAATACTGATTTTTTGAGGGCAAAACAAGAATGAGCTTGGTCACTTTATAAAATGCCTACGTTTAGGTAGTGTAAATAAACCTGGCGTTGTATGTAAGACTTCTGTTGTAATGTAGGTGTCTCTGTTAGTACTGTGTAGCTCAAAGTAACTTAAAATGTTTCGAGGATGTCAGTTGTTCTTGTTTTCACCTCTTGCAGGTTTGGGACATTGGAGGGCAGCCAAGATTTCGAAGCATGTGGGAGCGTTATTGCAGAGGAGTCAATGCAGTTGTGTAAGTTGTCTTGTGTATCTACATAAAAAATGAATTTTAAAATGTGTATTATTAACATTGGTGTACTTTTATCCCTGTCCGCCTTCATCATTTGCCCTTTCTTAGTCATTCAGCTTTTCTCTTACGGTGGGTTGTTAAGCTTAACGGGATGATAACATAAAAAAAGGGGGAAACATAAAATGCAGCAGCATTCTTTCCAGAAACTGAGGAGTCTGTAGAAACACAAAAATGAATTAAAAAAAAATACATGGCTGGTAGCAATAGGATAATCAGTGACTTAACCAGCTAGTTATTCAGTTATAAAGACATTTATCAGTAGGTATAGGAAGTGAGGAGAAAGTTTTTGCACACTTTATTGAATGTGAGATTGACGCATTAGAATGACTTGTTTTGACTTTATTGGAGTTTGGACAAAGGGTAAAGGAGACCTGTTACATTATCCAGTTGGCAGAAAATTATCTCCTGCACTTGAAATAATCTTGTTGATTGCCATCACCAAATACAGGTATGTTTAATAGTATCCCAGTTTCCATCCATTTGCTCTTAGCCTTCATGCTGTTAGATTGTAGTACTGAAAATTTCATGACAATAGGCAAGGTTGTTCCTAGGAAGGTCTTTAATAATATGCTTAGATCTGACAAAGGGCTAACCACTCAATATAAAGACTCAAACACAGTACAAATAGAACAGAACCTCTTACACATCCAGAAATCCCAGGTGTATTCCTGTTCCAAGCAACTGTATATTCCAAGACATGTTTTCCCACCACCCATGTTTGATTGTGCATTCTTAGGCATTAATAAATGCATGGCTTAGAGATCTCAGAAGTACTTCAGTGCTGCTGTTGTAAATGAGAACACATTTGTCACATTTCGGATATTTTAATGCAGCTTTCTGTAAGTAATGGACAAAACCATAAATAACTATTTTCTCATTGTAGTTACATGGTAGATGCAGCAGACATAGAAAAAGTAGAAGCTTCAAAGAATGAGCTACACAATTTGATAGACAAGCCACAATTGCATGGAATTCCAGTAAGTATTTTGATTTTTTTTTAATGTTCCTACAGAAATGTAAATTCTGTGTCTTAAATCCTGATGAATTGGTTGTCTGGGCCTCTTTTAAAAATAGTAGCTTAAACCTTGAGATACTGAGCTCTCTTTTTACAAAAATTATTGCGATTTTTTTTTTACAACACTCAGCATCTTATCAGTGTTGCAGTATGTTTGTATGTTTTCCAGTTTAAAGGTCAGAATATTTGGAACAAATTCATTTTCACATGTAACATTATCAGATAGTAATTCCAGTCAGTCCCCTTCTTGTCTGAGTACGAGCCTGTCACCCAGATACATTTGCAGTAGTATCTTAAGGCATGTGGGATTTGTCATTCTGAAGGCTGGCAGACATTCACATCAAGTAGTCTTCTCTACTTCCAGAGGACGTGAAGGAACTTGAACTCTTCTGTCTCATGACTTTTTCTTCACTTTTTAGTTTTTCAAACTAAAAATATGTGGGAGAAACAAATCTGTTCTCAGGTAGGATCTTCATTTTGCCAAAGAATAGTGTGCTTTCTAAAATTCTGTCGAGGAATTGAGGAAGTGGAAATCTTGTTTCCAATATTTCTTGTTTTCAAAATTAATCAATTATTGTTTGATTAATTATGATCTGCTGACTTAGACCTAGTATGATCAGTCTGGTTAGCATCATTGGTCTTTGATGCTGGTGTCACCTAATAAGGATTCAGACGTTTGATCATAAGAAAGGCTGAAATGGTACATGGTCAGCCAGGAAAGATACTCAAAAATTTATAGTTCTTGCTTGACCCTGATCTTTGTAAACAAATATTTGGAACTTTGGCCAGTGGGAATGCTTGAAGTCAACTAAGGAAGAGTAGACAGGTAGCTAATATCAAGTCAATATGAGAATAAAGTTAAACAAATATACCCTTTCTCAAAGCAGATTTTTTCTAGAGATTCCCCATTTCTTTTTTTTTTTTTCGGTAACGTTTTCTGTTACTGTATTTTCATGTAGTAAGTATATGTTACTGAACATATACTACAGAAGCCTACATTCAGGCCATGGCTGGAGGATGACACTGTCTTTCTGTTCTCTATGTTTGCACTCTCACATCCTGTTTTACTTCTTTCTGTCCCTTCCTGGCATGATAGTTCTCTAATATCTTCAGAAGTACTTAACCAAGCTCCTTTCCCTTTGTACTTTATAATATTACATTCCAATTCCCCAGCTTGACAGGTATGGTTATTTCCAGGGTTCAGTAATGTATTTTTTTATTTATTGTTATTTCTTTGGTATTGAACTTCCTTTAATTTATTGTACTTAGACTTCGTACTATAGACTTTAAGGTACCGTTATTAAGCTGAGAGGATAAGCAATGAGGTTTAATGTGTTCCAGATCCATGTGAAATATGAAACAGTCTTGATTTTGACACATATGGAAAACAATAATGCAATTGTAATTAGAAAAGCCTTCCATTACTTACTTAGATTGTGTTCAACTCATTCACTTTATTAATACTTGAGACCTTGAGTACATTTAAAATTTTAGTCCCAGCATCTGTTCTTCAAACTTCTCTTATTTCTCAGACTTAATATGTAATGGCAACCTTTCTCCTGTGGGTGCAGTAAGGGAGAGCAGCAGAATCGGTCAGTGGTTGGTGTTGGTAATTTATGGTTTGGATGCCTTCCAGTGGCCTGTGTCTACATTGGGAAGTAGGTGGGCAAAATAAGAGGAGGACTGTGAAACGAAGCAGGTGTAAAATGAAGCACTCTCTGTACTTCTGGAGTGGCTGCTTTGGGTGAGCTTTAACTTGGTCGTGCAGATTGAGTGTCCACTGCTGATCTGCGTGCCCTGGTGCATGCTCCCCTTCAGGTTTAGTTTCATGCAAAAGTAATCCAGTTTATCAAACAGACTCCATTCCATAATGTGGTCCAAAACAGAGTAAGTGGGACAGTTGTGACATTTATTTCCAAAGTGCACTTGTGATCCAAGCTAAAATATTAATGCATGATCGGGTGACTAAATGATCAAGTTTTCAAAGGGTGGATAGCCAGCATCTGACCCAGACTGGGTGGGAGGATTTCTAGTCTGTTTGCACAGTCACTGGTCATTTCAAAAGTGTCAGCTATTGTATTTTAAATATTTGGATTTACAATCCAAAAGAATGTCAGCAAATGCTTAAAGACAAAAATAAACTTTTATTCCTCCTGGATTTTCAATGATCAGGAATTCTTTCTTTCAGGTGTTAGTCCTTGGAAATAAGAGAGACCTACCAGGCGCACTGGATGAAAAACAGCTAATTGAGAAATTGTAAGTAGCTAACTTGTGAAAAAGCTGAGGCACTCTGAAATTCAATGCATAAGAGAAAGTCATTGGTAGTCTATGTCAATAGCCAGCAATAACAGATTCCATTTTACATTCTCAGATATTCTGCTCTGAGCTCTGCTGGCAGTTGAAATAGCACCCTAGGCTGAAAACTGACTGCAGTAAAATTGAACCTATCTTGATTATTGTTTCAGCTGTAAAAGTTGTTTCAGATATCCTGTTTTCCCATCACTGAAGATGCAACTGCTATTGAGAGTAATAGCCTCACTTTTACACTTCTCAGAGTATGTTGTAGTGGCAGTTTAATGCTCAAGTGGCATTAGAACAGAATCATTTGGAACAACTGTCTGTGAATTTAAGCAATTCAAGTATTTTTGGCATATATCCAAAGCAAATTCTTATAGATTACTGAAACTAACTTAAATTGAGGCATTTGCTAAGGGAAGTGTACATTTATGCAAAAATGGCTACTACAGCAGTGATTTTGCAGAATGTGTTTCTGTGCCCCAAATGACATAATTTTAGTCAGTAGGGAATGAAATGAAGAAGTTTTGATAATAAAAGATAGTTCCATGGCTAAGCAACTAAACTGGTACTTGAGAGGCCATTTTGTTCCCTTTTTTATTGAAGTATCTTCTGTGTGATCTTAGGACTCTTCCCTTTTCAGTATGTCTATTCTCCGTCTTCACTAGGAATAAAATCTGCTTTCTGCACATTTAGATGACTTGTAGGAAGATAAATAAATGAAAACATAGTGAAGTATTTAGAAACTTTGAAGAGATGGGGGAATTCACAGAAAGAAGAAAGGTTAATTAAAATATGGTTTCTTCCTGTAGGGAGAAGCATCCTTTCAGTAGGAATCTGATCTGATACCTTTAAGCTATGTATATGGTATAATATGGTATAATGAACTTCCTGAAGGTTAATGCTGTGCACATCTGAATATTGTTGCTTGTTAGTTAGTTAGTTAGTACACATAAAACTATGAATTCTAATACAAAAGGATAAAAGATGGATGCTAAGATAAGAGAAAATAAATAAGGCAGCATTACTGAGTTACCACTACAAAAGTTATATTCAACTCATGGATTCCTGCCTTTTTCTTTCTTACATAGTGTCCCTGTAATATAGAAATTTGATTTTTTTTTGAAATTACTCTATAGCCTTTACATCTTTATAATTTAAAAAGGGTTTTTGTTATATGTAATAATGTATTCTTTTTAAATTTAATATCAGAGAATAGAACTGAACCCACTGAACAAAAAAAGAGAGAAGATGTAATTTAATGGAAATTTCTATGGTCAGCTTTTGTAAAGCTCTAACACTGCTTAATGAAATTTTCTTTTTGTAGAAACCTTTCAGCTATTCAAGACAGAGAAATCTGTTGCTATTCTATTTCCTGTAAAGAGAAGGATAACATAGGTAAGCTGCTGCTTCTTTTTACACCATCATTAGTGTATGCTTCACTCCTCTGATCAGATTAAAATAATAATGAAAATTCAATAACTAACTCCTGTATGTAAGAGAAGATCTCAGTTTTATGTGAAAGATTTTATGCAAGTATTTCATTCAATCAATTTTTTTTTACATGCAATTATGTAATTTAGAAGGACTGGAACGTATACAGACAAGTCATTCACAGGATGATTTAATTCTGCAAAAAGTTATGGAATTAATTTGACAGTTGTCTTTGGAAAAGTATTGTTCAATAAGCAAAGTAACTGAATCCATCACAAAAACCGTGTTTATTTTCAAGAACTGTTAACTAGATATGACAGCCTTCCAATTTTAGGTTATATTTAATACATCTCCAAACATTATTTTTACTTTATAAGTAGGCCTTACATTCATGTGACTGTATGGTGGCATTTTTCAAACTGAGGGACTAGTTACTAGTGATGTAACTACTAAGCTTATAAGGAGAAGGGTGGAAGCTCTGAATTTTCTTCTGAATTTTTGATTGATGTCAGTGCAGTCATATGAGACAGTCATTTTTCAGTGCAAACTGCAAGTGAGCTGGACTCATTTGGAGATACAAGTGTAAGGCTGCCAGGTTTCTGTGTCCTAAGGGACTCGTTGCTACCTTGAGGCAAAAACATCTAATCTGCTCATGAATCAGTTTGTAAACTGCTCCAGTTTTTAGTCCAATACATTAGGTTGTATCAGAAGAAGTAACAATTTTGGCTGTTAACTTTTAATCTAATATCCAATATTACATGTTTTTTAGAGTCCATGGGCTCCTGCATTCTACCTAAATGGTGTCTTTATGTGTTGTCAGATACTTGCCCTTCTCTTCATTTAAGATCATGTGTTCTCACCTCTGTTGTAACACTTTGTTTCACTGCAGTTTGAATTTTGAAGGTCTTTTTTATGGTCATCCCGTATTTTTTATCTGTTCTTGGTCTCATTTAGAGAACTTAATGACAGTTGTCATATTTTATGAATACAAAATGCACATAATTTAAAGTCAAACAAAATCAAACAAGAACAACAAACTAGTGTCTTAAGCAATTAATTTTTAATTAAGTGTGAATGAAAAACTTTGCTTTTTGTTTTTATTTCTATTGACTTCTTAGTGTTCTGTTGTCCCTCTAAACTTTGCAAATCAGCTGTTCAGTTTTTCGTTTTGCTTTATTTATCTTGGCAGACATAACATTACAATGGCTTATTCAGCACTCCAAATCAAGACACTGTTGAAGAAACGTTTGCTGAAGATAAATTTCCTTTCCCTATCACTTTGACTCCTATGAGCTATACACTCCTGAAAAGATAAGGAATGCAACTGCATACTACTGGGACTCACTTTGATCATATTTGTTAACAGAAATGAAACTTAAGTGAATTATGGTCTGTCTATTTTTTTTTTTAATCAAGATATGTGTTTGCCTAGTTGAATTTCCTGGAAGCCTTAATTGAAGACTAAAAATAAATCAATACTTTTCAGGCTATAATGTTTCAGTTTTTGCATGTGAACTGTGGAATAATTGGTAACTTTTTTCTAATTTGAATAAACTGCACAGTGGAAACCAATATGACTTTTATAATTATTAATGCAAAACATTTTACCTGTGAACATCTGTATTTAAGCATCAATAATTAATTAAAACTATAAATCAAAGCTTCTTATTTCATACAATATTATTGATCAGAACACTTTTGAATACTCATATTGAGATGAAATTATTTCAGAAGTCATGAATCTGCAGTTACCTAATTTTTTAGTCACATATATAAACTATAAATAGGTATATATGTATTTGGGAATGGAAAAATGTAACAATTTCTAGACAGTCTTCCCCACTGCTGGTAGTCTGGGACTTGAGTGTGATTTTTTTTGCATTTACCAGAGATGGAGATGCACAAAGAGAGCAGATGAGATCAGATGCGTCTTGTCTGTATGGACCAGCTGACACAGTTACTCCAAAAGCTCATGAGTTTCCTAAGCACTTCTTGTGCTTGAAGTAACTTTCACAGTGCTTCTGGACTACTCCTTTCATTCCTGAATTTTACAGAATTTCCCAGTAGGCAGTCTCGCATAGCGGGGCTCTGAAGTAGGATTAGCCCCTCTGAAAGAAGCTAAAGGTGAAGTTCGCTTCTTGAATTTTTGTGCACTAATGCCTTCTTGGAGATCATCTGCTTATGAGTGCTTCACTTAGAAGCGTTCTAATGGGATCTTGGAGTTTGGAAGATTCTGTGAAAGATGGAAACGTAGTGTCAGCATTAGATAGACAAGCAGAGTAGATGCTCAGTGGCCAAGTCTTTGTTATGTAGCCAGAGCAGAGAGAAATTAATGGTTTCTAATCTAAAGATATGGTAGATGAACTGAAGATTACATGATTATAAAAAATACAACTAATTTGTGGAATACTTAAATATATAAACAATAAAAATATATAAACAATAGACAGGATTTTGACAAGTCTTCTACTTGAGGATGCTTTTAGGCTGGTTGCTACGATAAGCTGCTTAAAACACTGTGATGAAATCCATCTTGAGTGTCCTAGGAATGCTACTTTCAAACCTCATAGGATATAGCACTTCTTTGTACATGTTTGCAATACTTTATTCAGAAGCCTTATAGAAGCTGGGAGGACCAGAGGGGCTTGTTTTTTATAGTAGTTAAATGTGTGATTTGACTGTGCTATATGGTGAGCACTCATTAAATAAGTAAATAACAGATGTCTGCTGATCTGTGATGTTGGAAATGATCCTCCAAAATGTGAGACATAATCCATGCAGTGTCATTCTGCATGCTGAAAACTGACATTAGAGGACTAAAATGATAGGTATGAAACACTTAATTGTTGTTGCTTGTGGTCTTTTGAGGTTGTTGAGCCATTGCAAAATGCATTGGAGTCATTCTGGGTAAACACAAGAGCCGTGTCCTTACACTCCTGACATCCTTCCTGCAGCCCTGGTTTTTGGCCTTTCCACCTACTAGCGTGGCGTGCAAGCTCATGTCTCTGGCATGGAAACTCCGTATCAAATCGTCTGCATCGCTCCTTAGCGTGACCCACTCCTGCCCCTTTGCTCTGGGCTGTGGAGTAACCCACTCTTTGCTGACTGCTTGGAGCAACAGTTTGGCAAGATAGCCCTCGTGACAAAACTCGCGCTGGCTTTTATCCTCATTTTTGTCTCAATGCAATATTTCCTTCAGAGAGGACCAAAAAAATTAACTCGGTGTGCGTGGTACATACCGTTGCGTAAGCAAACTGAGGACAGCTTCTGGAGGGAATAAGTTAGGTTCCAGGTTCCCTGAATTAATCTATGAATAAGAGGTAGGAATAAATTATTTTATTATTAAAAATGTTCCATTATTAAGCATATGCTAACTTCTTTCTGTTTGTCCTACTTTGTGACCTTGTATCAGAACCGCAGGCAACTCAGCACAGACACTGGCCTCACAGTTGCCGTTTGAAACAGCCTGTTTTCAACAGCTTGCCTCCGAGCCGTTTTTCCAAATGGGCCTAGCTGAAGATGAGTGTTTGCTGTCACACTCGGTCGCAGTTCTAGAAAGACGAATTGCAGCTGTCAGCTCTGACATGCTTTTCCTGAGACTGCGCACGGGCATAGGAGTGTTACGAAAGTTTAGGCTGCTCGAGGCAGAACTGTCTCAAAGTTGCTTGGTCGTAAACTTTCTCCTGCAAAGGTCATCGGTGCCGGGAGCCTGCCCTTGCTGAGTCAGCAATATGTGATGCCAACCTTGTAGAGGTCCCATCTTGGGTGTCTTTCCGAGGAAGGGCAGAGTGAGCAGCCCTGGCTCTGCTGTGAGGCCGCGGGTGCCATGGCGCGCCGGGCGGTCCTGGTCCCCTGAGGTGAGACCCACCTGCGCAACGAGTTAGGAGAAGAGCAGAGTTGGGCTCTGGGCAACTGGGGGGTTGCTGCTAACCTTCAGTGTGGTGCCCCCCGGAGCCACCCGTCTGTTCTATGTTCACCACTTTTTATTGATCCTTTTATCCTGTTAGTGATGTAACTTTATGCCTATTGTTTTCTGTTTGCATTATGTATTTTAGAAACCAAACTTCAAGTTTTAGTTAAATGATAGGAAAAAAAGACAAACTGAAGTCAGGTTTTCATCAAATGCAGTATAAAATCTTCCACATTTAGTGCAGAGAGCAGTGACATACATGATATGTTCCTGAATAAGCCATTTTGTAAAACAGTGGTACTTCAGCCTCCCGAGCAGCATACTAAGCTTTGTTTTGTGCTTCTGGATGATCCCATACATACAAAACAGTACATACAGAACTGTCATGAGACTCTTGAGCAGACCCACAGGAAAAAAAAGAAAAAAAAGTGTCCATAGTAATGAGAAATATTTAAAAGCTTGTGACCTTGGCTGGCATCTTCAGCAAGGCCCTTGTGCTGTTGCTGTGATGCGCTCCGGTCTGTGCCACGCACACATGGTGATCCTGCAAGCCCGAAATAATAAACACAGCCTGGCTCAAACCCAAGCCTCATAGCTTAAGAAGGTGTGTGGGAAGGGGGTATGGACCAGAGGCTGATTTCTGGGCTGTTAGTTTTCTTCATTGTGCTTTCAAGGCAGTCTATATAATCTGTCTATACAGGCCCTTTTCCCAGTGATGTGTCCTACTTAAATGTCTTCAAAGACATCTATACTTTTTCCTTCAAAGACTTTAGGGGTTGGTAGGATTCATAATATCTCTCCATCATCTTTTTGGAGGTCTGGGACCTAGATCATATCTTCTTTTGGATCTGTCAGTAAATCTGGCCCGAAGTCCATAGTTCAATAGCAGCAGTTAAACAACAGAGACTACTAAAGTCAAACTATGAGAAGACAGGTCATTACATCCTCCTTACTTGTGGGAAAGGATAGTTTAATTTGTCATCGCATGTGACATGATGAAATGATACTTTTTATCCCTGGCAAAAGACTAAATGTGACCATTAGTCCAAATCAAGCTCTCCTGGCCATCCTCAAATCAGATTAGAGGCATAGATGGACCATCGCAGATAACTGACAGAAAACAATATCCCAGGTCCTCTGAAAGTTGTAGTCATCTAAAAGCTACCAAGGAGTCACACTCAGCTCCCTCAGGAAAGATGCAAAGACTCAATGAGATGCAGATTACTAAAATAGGTGTCTGCTATCTAAAGTGTTCAACAGAAGACTTTCCAAATTATTTGTGGCTTCCTGGCCATTGAGCATTACTATCAGCACTAAGCTCTACCAAAGGAGGACATTCCTGCCTTTCTACGGTGCCCCGCTATCAAGATAGCCATCTTTTCTGGGAACTCAGGCACAAGTCACTTGTCTATACTCGATTTAACCTATGTTCAGGAGGAATTCAGAACTAGCATCTTTCACATGACTGGGGTTGTGGGAGAGACAGTTTCAGACAATGATGTTCCAGATAGGTCTGGGAAGATACAAGATTCATTTTTCGTGATTTTGTTTATTTGTTTTTTCACAGATTGAATAGCTGTTCTTCCCATTCTCTCTGAACATAACGTATTCTAGGTAGAATGGACATAGTCTACACAGTCTTCCTCTAAAAGAGGCATAAAGTTATCCCTTGAGGGGATAACAGCTGTTCTGACTTTTGTTATTGGTGCCGTCTTGGATTGGGAATGGGGCACTTCTGTGTGGATTTTTCACGGTCATGGTCACTTTCGCCAGTATCTAGCACATGAGCCACTTTGAGCTGAAGGAAAGCGGGGGCACTGTGGTGTGGAAGAGTAGATTGATTACTGGGGCTAAGCCAAGCACCGGGCAATGGCAGGGTCTGTGTACTCTGCAAAATGCAGAGTAAATCTCATTTCTCAGCCTTTTCTCTAGGTGTGTGATAGTGGCCAGCATACTGGCTCTGTCAAAAGCTGCTCTCTTAGTGCGATAACTGCTCCAGATGATTCTGCTTTCCATATGTTGTGCTGTGCTATCTAGCCAATGCTGAACTGGAATTGTAGCCCTGCACTCAGGAGCTGGGGAAAGAGATGATTTCTCTGTCATGTCTGAACACTTAATCCTTGCTGCCAGAGACAACTCATCCCTAGGGCTCACACACATACACTTAGAAAATGCTTTTGTTTTTTTACAGTGAATGGGCCAGATTGCACCTGGTGCACTTTATTTTACAAAATGGTCCCACAGGAAGGTAGCTCATCTGCGTTCCAGTTTCAAAAATTGAAGCACTATGATATATCTATGTAGCCAATATTCTTTTTTTTCAGGAACAAGATATTTGCAGTGAAGTGCACTTAAAGTAAGTGGGTTTGTTAAGCAGCATTGCCTCTTTGCTCATTGTTATCTATAGATTGTGTGGAAAGTGTTTTCACTGAAGTGGAAAACAAGTCAATACATTTCCCTAATCCATCCTTCAGTGTAA